GGGGTGATTATTTCTGATGACTTAAAGGTAGGCAGACAATGTAATAGAGCGGCAGGAAATGCTAGCAGAATGCTTGGTTGTATAGGGAGAGGTATTAGCAGTAGAAAGAGGGAAGTGCTCATGCCATTGTACAGAACACTGGTGAGACCTCACTTGGAGTATTGTACACAGTACTGGAGACCGTATCTTCAGAAGGATATTGATACCTTAGAGAGGGTTCAGAGAAGGGCTACTAAACTGGTTCATGGATTGCAGGATAAAACTTACCAGGAAAGGTTAAAGGAACTTAACATGTATAGCTTGGAGGAAAGACGAGACAGGGGGATGATAGAAACATTTAAATACATAAAGGGAATTGTGACGGTAGTAGAAAATATCCCCGTCAAGCATTCCTTTCTTCCCATAAAAGAAAAGCACTCAATATTCCATAAGCAGAAATATCCCTGGAATCGCCGAATAATCCACACATGAGCCAAAGCTTAATGCTGGAACAAGACTGATTTACTGGCACACAGAACTCACAATTTATGCAACACAAAACTCCTCCTCTGGGCCAGGCTAGATAATTGAGTTTCTACAATACACAAAGCTCAATTATCTGCTGGCCAGAAACATTACAATTTATAACAATTTCAGAAACATACTTGTTATAAGACATACAAATATACTTTTGACATCCCTGGGTAGCTGAGGATACTGGTAGTCACACATCCAAATCTCACAAATTTCCGTTCAGTAGTTTCCGTGTCGCATCGTGTGGAAGTTTGACCGGCTTGTGGAGGTATCCGAGTTACAGTTCCATAGAATCAGTAGCAAGAGCCGGTCTCCGTTCGCATCTAACTACACGAAAACCACTGTTCGTATGGTTCAGCTGGTTACCTGTGAATGTTCCCCTCATTCGGTAGATACTATCTACCGAACGCCAGTTTGATTCGTGGACGGGAACGTATTCATCCATGGGGACCGGGCGTTCGCATGTTTCCTGTACCGAAAACAGTTCCATGCAATTCATGCGTAAGCCCCGCTGACCGCATTCATGAGTTTTAAGATGGCCGCCATCCTTTGTTCTCGCCACGTGTTCGTATGTCGAATGGTGGCCACCTAGTAGCAATTAAGTTGCGGTTTTCTTTGTGTTCTAATTGCTACTTGCTACCCAGGGTGTGTGGTCCCCGTTCGGTACACGAATACATTCATTCTCAACATTTTGAACCGAACAATATAGACATTAAAATAGCAGGGAGAGGATTAAACTGAAGCAAATAGGCAAATACATAAAAGTCCTTCACAGGAATCAACACAGTAAAGGAGGAGACCATATTTAAAAGAAGAAAAACTACCACAACAAGAGGACATAGTCTTAAATTAGAGGTACAAAGGTTTAAAAATAATATCAGGAAGTATTACTTTACTGAGAGGGTAGTGGATGCATGGAATAGCCTTCCGGCTAAAGTGGTAGAGGTTAACACAGTAAAGGAGTTTAAGCATGCGTGGGATAGGCATAAGGCTATCCTAACTATAAGATAAGGCCAGGGACTAATGAAAGTATTTAGAAAATTGGGCAGACTAGATGGGCCGAATGGTTCTTATCTGCTGTCACATTCTATGTTTCTATGACTGTATGTCTGTGTTTGTCAATGTGTGTATCTTTGTGCATCAGTGTGTTTGTATCAGAGTGGGTATATGTGTGTCTATAGCTGCAATGTGAGCAATGTGAGGGTGGTATGGGCTTTACAAAGCTAAAGCTGGCATAGGTATCCCGTAAGAACGGATAGAAAAGTAGGATGAATGTTACCAGTGACTGTGTTTTGTTGACAGATTATTATCTGATATCAGAAGACAGTCACTGAACGACTCTTGCAAGGAGACTACAGATATCGGTGGCATTTCAAGCACAGCACGGACTGTATGATCCTCCCTGAATGGCATTGTTTATTTATACTGTATGGATAATGTCACGGCATTGGAACCTACGATACAAGTTTTAATAGAACAATAACTAGGGCTCATGTTCTGTTTGGTTTCACTTGGCATGTGCGCAGACGGTGAGATTTTCCCTCTTCTCCCTTGCCATACTTTGTAAATGTCGCTAGGAATGCTGAAACAATAAATGTTAGAAAGTTAATGTTTCGTTCCATTAATCCTCGATGCTCTCTTTTTGGATCTTGTTGCTGTACAGATCCACAACGTCTGCTGAGAAATTCATATAATCCTAACAAAGGTTTCTGCTTCCTCGCATGATTTACAGGAACGAGACGCAGCTCATTGTTCATCTAATAAAAGAAAAACACAAAAAAATGTCAGAATTGGATAAATCCGCCGCTTGGAAGAGGAGGTAAGACAGCCTCTTGTACGATAAAGCCTTGCAGAATATCTTTGTACTGTGCGTACTGTGACCGCTCTGGATATTTCACTCGCAAATCAAACTGTTTAGGAAACATGTCTCGCTGATTCCAGTAATAATATTGTACCTCCGCTTGCAAATCCCGATACACGAAACCCGCTATTCCTATTCATTGCTAATAAGTATGGCTATTAAATCCATTGTCGCAATTTATTTTATTAACTTTGAGTAACTTCTATTAATGGCTATCAACCAAATGAACCGATATTAACAGCTAAAATACTCTGAGCTCTAAGTTGGCAATTGATACTTGCAGCTTCTATTAACTTTCTGAGAGGATACATTGCTTACATGTCTGGTGCTCACAATGTGTGAGCTAGCCGTATAAAATTTAGGTCAGGGCAGCATCTAGTGTGTCTTGGTTATGATGAAGAGGTCAGGGCAGGAGGTGTGGATCAGATCAGGCAGTGCTTTGGGTATATAGAGGTCAGGGCAGGAGGTGTGTATCAGAGTACGCAGTACCACGGTGTATGAAAAGGTCAGGGCAGGAGGTGTGGGTCAGAATAGACATTGCCTCAGGGTATGAAGAGGTTGAGCCAAAAGGTGTTGATCAGATCAGGCAGTGCTTCAAGGTAAGAAGAGGTCAGGGCAGGAGGTGTGGGTTACAGCAGGGAGTGCCTCGGGGTATGAAGAGGTCAGGGCAGGAGGTGTGGGTTACAGCAGGAAGTGTCTCAGGATATGACGAGTCAGGGCAGGAGGTGTGGGTTACAGCAGGAAGTGTCTCGGGGTATGAAGAGGTCAGGGCATGAGGTGTGGGTTACAGCAGGAAGTGTTTAGGGGTATGACGAGTCAGGGCAGGAGGTGTGGGTTACAGCAGGAAGTGTCTCGGGGTATGAAGAGGTCAGGGCAGGAGGTGTTGGTCAGATCAGGCAGTATGTCAGGGCAGGAGGTGTTGGTCAGATCAGGCAGTGCCTCGGGGTATGAAGAGGTCAAGACAGGAGTTGTAGGTAAGAGCAGGCAGTGCCTCAGGGTGTGAAGAGGTCAGGGCAGGAGGTGTTGGTCAGATCAGGCAGTGCCTCACGGTGTGAAGAGGTCAGGGCCGGAGTTGTTGGTCAGATCAGGCAGTATGTCAGGGCCGGAGGTGTTGGTCAGATCAGGCAGTACGTCAGGGCCGGAGGTGTTGGTCAGAGCAGGCAGTACGTCAGGGCAGGAGTTGTTGGTCAGAGCGGGCAGTACGTCAGGGCCGGAGTTGTTGGTCAGATCAGGCAGTACGTCAGGGCCGGAGGTGTTGGTCAGAGCAGGCAGTACGTCAGGGCCGGAGTTGTTGGTCAGATCAGGCAGTACGTCAGGGCCGGAGTTGTTGGTCAGATCAGGCAGTACGTCAGGGCCGGAGGTGTTTGTCAGAGCAGGCAGTACGTCAGGGCAGGAGTTGTTGGTCAGAGCAGGCAGGACGTCAGGGCTGGAGTTGTTGGTCATATCAGGCAGTACGTCAGGGCTGGAGGTGTTGGTCAGAGCAGGCAGTACGTCAGGGCCGGAGTTGTTGGTCAAATCAGGCAGTACGTCAGGACCGGAGGTGTTGGTCAGAGCAGGCAGTACGTCAGGGCCGGAGTTGTTGGTCAGATCAGGCAGTACGTCAGGGCCGGAGTTGTTGGTCAGAGCAGGCAGTACGTCAGGGCCGGAGGTGTTGGTCAAATCAGGCAGTACGTCAGGGCCGGAGGTGTGAAGATGTCGGAAGAAATACTTATTTCACTTATTGACATTCAAATACATTTATAACTTTTTTGAAATGAGTTTTTCTGGATTTTTTTTATTCAGTCTCTCACTGTTAAAATACACCTACCATTAAAATTATAGACTGATCATTTCTTTTTCAGTGGGAAAAAGTTCAAAATCAGCAGGGGATCTGTTTTCCCTCGGTCAAAACCTAATTTCGGAGAATAAGCTTCACCCCACCCCCCCAATACACACAGCCACGAAACATATATGAACAAGGACCAAGGACATGACATTTTAATATGACAGAACACAACTATTTATTTAACAACTATTTACAAACATATTAACACACTGGCACATGCCCACACCTTGACACAGATACACACTCAGATAAACAAACAGGCACCTGCACTCAGATACACATACTGGCACACACTCAGATACACACACTGGCACATACACACAGATACATACTGACACACAGATACACACACTGACACACAGATACATACACTGGGACACACACACAAAATGACACACAAATACACACACTGACACATACAGATACACACACTGACACATACACACACAGACACATGGATACACACTGACACATACAGATACACACACATGGACACACACACACACAGATACACACACTGACACACAGATACACACACTGACACATACAGATACACACACTGGGACACACACACAATGACACACATATACACACACTAACACATACAGATACACACACTGACACACAGATACACACTGACACATACAAACAGATACACACACAGTTACAAACATTGGCATATACACACAGATACACATACTGGCACACACTCAGATACACACACTGGCACATACACACAGATACATACTGACACACAGATACATACACTGGGACACACACACAAAATGACACACAGATACACACACTGACACATACAGATACACACACTGACACATACACACACACACACACAGACACACGGATACATACTGACACATACAGATACACACACATGGACACACACACACAGATACACACACTGACACACAGATACACACACTGACACATACAGATACACACACTGGGACACACACACAATGACACACATATACACACACTAACACATACAGATACACACACTGACACACAGATACACACTGACACATATAAACAGATACACACACAGTTACAAACATTGGCACATACACACAGATACACATA